AGAGAGAGAGAGAGAGAAAGAAAGAGCAAGAAGGGAAGAAGAAAAAATATTAATTTCGCTTATATGTATTTTCTATTTTACCACATAATCTTGCGAGCATTATATATTATTAAAAAACTTCGTATGTTTTAAAACCAAATAAAAATTTAATAACTCTTACTTTCTGCTACAATCAACGGACATCCAGGTCATACCTCGGTGACCCAACCTGTCACCCGATGAGAACGTTGTCTCCTCTATTTTGCCAATTGTATTGCATATACATAATGTATAACTATTGGACAAAGCTTTCAGAGGTATCATAAACAAAGCGTAAGGTGCGCATTATTTTTTTACAACTACAATCACAGTGATTTATTACGGAATTTCATTAATCTTCTTTATATTTCATTTAATTATATTAACATGAAATTAAAATTAAATTCATATTGGTTATTCTCTTTCTACAAATGATCTTTCTACAAATGATACATTTATAAGAAAATTAATATTTTTAGTTCGTATGCTTATACATATACATGACTTCTTGGTTTTACTGAATATATATTAATAAATATTTTAAAAAGTAAAATATTTGATCTTTTTATATTTTTTATATCCTTTTTATTTATAATAAAAATTCATAATCATTAAATTTTTTGCGATCTTTCTTATATTAACTCGTATATCTTATATCACTTTTGTATATATATCTTATATCGTATATCACTTTTGATATTTTTATATATAGCATTTTCAATCGTATCAATTTTCAAATAAATACATTATCTTACAATTTAGTATCATGCGCCCTGACGTCATTCTGATGATAAATAATTGCAGATTAATTATTTAAATTAGGGAACACCGCGTTGATTTTGACCGTGATGATCTTGACTTCGACATATAATATCAAAATTTTTAACTTTGAATAATTTTCCACAGATTTTAATTGGCGATCATTGTTTATTAAAAATTATAAACAAAAGAAGTTTGAGAAATATAATTTATATCAGTATCGAAGAATGTAATTTGTTAATGTATTTATATATTACAGATGTAGGCGAAGGAGGGATTTTTTCTCCTGCCACCCCACTCTGAAGAAACCTACTCTAACTCATTGTAAGTGGGAAGAATGGGGTACGTT